AATGTTGACAGTTATTATTACCATACCTCTTATGTTCTGTGTGACTTAGATTTCGTTTGAGACAGCTTTTTTGCTGCTTTCTAAAAAGACTTTTTACTATAAAAATTTCTAATTCATAATAATTTTATTTTAAACAAATTGTTTTAAAAAGCAGCAAAAAAAGCTGTCTGAAACAAAACCTTATTCTTTGATCCTTTAACTATCAAATTACTAAGAGAGCAACAAATTACTTGGAATTTTTCATCTATCTAAAATACCCCAACTTGGTGCAAAAGTAAGTTCATACAATTCTATGCTATTCTTAGCTTGAGAAAGATCATATCGAGCCTTTATAAACTTGTACAAACTTTCAGACTTTGGCATCCAAGTGGTTAGGTTTGTGAGGGAACTCCCTCCATATAAACTTTGACCATTTATTTAACGGACAGTTTGAATTTAAAAGAGGAGTTAGTTTGATCTCTCCAACTATATCAAGTAATCCAATGTAGTAACAACAACAACATCAAGCCTTTAACACTATCGTTGTCAGATCCCAAATCTTGGATGAGAAAAATATAATTGAGTGTGTTAAGTAGTCGACAACTATCATAAAACTTGTCGAATAATCATAACATGAATCACAATTAAACCAAAAAAAAGGGATAATATTTTTCATATGTGAAAAAAAAAATAGAAATCTTGTAATTTAATTAGCTAGAATAACTTTTACTAATACTAGACATAAAAAGTTCGCACTTGTACGAACCTTTTTTTATAGAGAAATTAGAGGCAAAGCCCATTCACTAATCTAAATGAAAATACATGAAGAAGGGATTAGAGTGTAAAAGGAAAAAAAAAAGTGAGCACCAAAATTTCCGAAGAAATCATGAAGACAAAATCTATATGAACCAAGATTATAGCTCTTAAAATTTTATGCCGCAAAGATATATCAAAGCAAACAATAGAGGCAAACTTTCTATCATTCCTTTCACGCCAAAGTTAATAAATAGTGCAGTTTATCATAAGCAAATAGAATGTTTTGAGGTATGAATGCTTACAATTCATACCCGCTATGAAATCAAATGTATGAACTAAAGTGGGCCTCAAAAGAAATTACTAAAAAATAGGAATAATATCAACCAAAACATCAAAAGAGTAATCACATTCGAAAAATAAATGAGCAGAACTTTTGGAGCCATAGTAACAAAGAGGGTATCTACTATTCTCCACCTGAACATTTCTTCTAATAAGATTCTACAAACTCAAAGAAGACAATAATATAAAAAAGTTGATGAGACGGGCTAAAGCAGATAACTTTACTCCACTTGAAAGTGAACACAACATAACCTTGAAATAATGAATGTGAAGAAAGTGGCCAACAAAGGGAAAAAAGTCAATGAAGATTAGATCAGTCGCCTTTTACAAGCAAAAGTTTCACCATCTTGATACTACGATCAAAGAAGCATGGACATGTCAAAGATCTTTCAATTCATATGGGGAGATCAGATGCAGAACGTCGGCCGGAGATCAATCAGAATGCGCCATGTCAGCGGCATCAAGCCGCAGTATCGAGTGGTACCAATTAGTACCGAGCCCCATACCGAGCACAAGGGTGATGTGACACATTCTGGTGGTTCTCTAGATGACGTTTTACATCCGCAAAAAATAATTAATCCAACTGAGGTGATTGAAATAGCCTTGAATTTGATAATTATTAGAAGAAAATTTTCCTTTTAGTTCATTTTTTTGTATCATTATTAGCACAACCTATTTGTAGCGGTAGAATCCAGAAGAAATGAAATAAATGTACGGCTGCAAACGAATCGAGCCGAGTCGAGTATGTGAGTGTTCATGTTTGTGTTCATTTAATATCAGCTTGTTCAAGTTTGATTCATGTTCGTTTGAGCTTTATTGTATGTGTTCATGTTTGATTCATTTAAATTAATGAGTGTTCATGTTCGGTTCATGTTAATTCGTTTAGTGCTTATTGAGCTTGTTCACGAACATATTTAACGAATTTTTTTTAACTATCAAACAAACACGTTCATGAACATATCTATGAACAAACACATTTATAATAAAAGCAATTGTTTATGTAAGAAAGGCAATGATTATTTATATTTATTAATTCTATAGTCAAATATTAATTATTTTTATCGAGCTTATTATCGAGTTCAAAATCAAACACGAATCGAGCTTTTGTCGAGCTTCTTATCGAGCTTAATGTCGAGCTTGTTCACGAACTTCAAATGATGCTGTTCGCGAACATAAATGAGCCGAACGCATTAGTGTTCAAGTTTGTTTATATAAGAATCGAGTATTTAAAATATTGTTCAAGTTTGTTTGTTTAGTTAATAAAACGATCACAAACGATAATCGAACCGAACAACGAGTAGCTCGTTGAACGTTTGGTTCGCTTGCAGCCCTAAATAAAGGGATAACTCTCCTCCTCTTCGATTTTTAAAAACACTTTTTTTTTAATTTTTAAATATCATAATACCTATTTAAATTGATTTTTTCATTAACTGCTGGCTGCCAGTTTTGCTTATGTCAAAATCTTTTGGATTAGGCTTGAATTGATCAAAGAAATCATGTAAAAATAGACCTCTCTTACAGTCTTTCTAATAATCCAATGGTGTGAATAAGCTCCGAGGCTGCTTAAATTAATTCCTTTTTATATGGCTTTAAGCTTCTGAAATTAATTAAGGTGGTGTGAACAATATTATTGGATCATAATATACAGAAATTATTATTTATAGTGTCCAAAGTTTATTAAATTTAGCAAAGCCATAATGACCAATAGAGTATTATTCTTTATTGATCAATATTTCATTTGGAATCCTCTATATCTAGAGCTAAGGATTAAGGAGAGAGAAAACTCTGCAAGAGTCTGCTCTTTTAATCTTGCTGTACTTATCCCAAGTTAATTTATATTAGTAGACTTCATCATAATGGATTTTTTTTTTTCGCTTACTATGCTTTGGAATATATTATTTGTATTGGAAATTTTTAGAACTAAATTCAGATTTATTTTATTTTTTATTTCAATGAACTTTCGATCAAATACAATGTCTTGATAAATACAATGTCTTGATAAGATGAACTGAGTAACACTAAAAGTGATTCGATCTGAGTACATAACTAGATTAGGTTTTTGTTATTCATTCTTAAATATATATAATTTATTCTTGCTTGGTAAACATTTTTGTTCAATGAACCTTCTTCTCCCACACTTTTTCCTAAGGGTATCAATTTCGGGTCATGGGTTGGGTTCGGGTCGAACCTCAAATGGAACAGCACTACTTGGGTCAACTCGAACCCGACCTGTTTTTGCAAACGGGTCAGTTTTGGGACGCTAACCATTTCAACTTCAGGTCCAGGTCAATTCAATATGACGCGAATGATCAGGGGAAATTTTCGAGTCAAAAAAGGGTCAATCTAAGATTTTTGAGTAAAAATCAGGTCAAAATGGGTTAATTTCGAGTTTCCGTGTCAACCTGAACCCGACCCAATTTTGAAGCGGGTCGATTTGTTGAACCCAAACCCGACCTATTTTGGGTAAGGGTATCTACTTAATTTTGATTTATCTTTGTGATCTATTTAATAGTATCAATTTCTATCATTATATGAACTATCTATTAGTACTAATTAATTTATGTTGAACATTCCAAATGCATTATATCTAATTTGCACTTCAATTTAAAACCACACAAATTTCAACTACTTTGAATCAAATAACTCCATAAAAAATTTTATCTCCTAAGAACTTTGTCAATTTATATGATTGTATCTCTTCTCATACATTTATTTAAAATAAATACATTTAGATTTAATTATTTAATTTAAAATAAATTTATTTATTTAAATTAATTAATTAAAAAATCATGTTCATCCAAAATCAAGAAGATTTAATTTAATTAAAATATTTCCAATTTCTAACATAGTTGAAACCATAAATTATGCATATAATTTATATTTCAAAATTAAACCAAAAACAAAAGAATATAAAAAAATTATTATTATTATTATTTTATCCCATCCCATCCTATTATTTTTGCCCAGTCGCTTTTTTTGCCCACCTCACAAATCATAGCAACCATCGAAATTTAATAATCCCAAATAAATAATTTAATACATTCAAACCACATGGAACAATTACTTACAGTACCATGAACAGGAATTAGCCACTACGCGTTATTTGGCCCCCTCCTATACGAACTTTTATTCGGTCCGGTGAACGTACGCTCCTTTATGTTCGGTCATCAATATTTTAGCGCCACGTAGCATGAAGAAAAGTCTCCGACCCGACCAGCTGTTTTTTGGGTTCTTGCACGTGCTTTTTTTAAAATCCTTAACGAGCCGAACAAAATCCCATCACCTTTGGATATATTTCAAATACCTAGCAATACCAAGCAAATACCAAACTGTACCTAGTTTTTTCTAGCAATACCGAGCAAATCCCTAGCAATACCGAGCAAATACTGAGTTGTACCGAGTTGTACCGAGTTTTTTCTAGCAATACCGAGCAAATCCCTAGCAATACCGAGCAAATCCCTAGCAAATACTAAGTTGTACCGAGTTGTAAAAAACTCGGTACAACTCGGTATTTGCATGATATTGATCTTCATAGAGCGGTATTTCTCATTTTTGCAAAGCAATACCTAGCAAATACCGAGCAAATATCGAGCAATACCGAGAAAATCACGAACATAGCATTCCCGGGTTCTGCTCCGGGTCAAGTCGTCGGGCCGCGCGGTTTAGAGTAAGAGCACGTGACGACATGTTATTGGCGGCCGAACGTAGCTCTACGTCCGATCAGATGATGACGTAATAATTGTTCCTCCTATACAGGCAAAAATTCCATATTTTTAATCCATCTTATTATAAATGAAAAAATCTCGCAGTTAAATTTCTTCTTTTTTAATCAAAACGTCACATTCTTTTCACGACCTAATTATCCAAATTACGCTTGCCCCCCATTGATTCTCCTCTATTATAAGATGTCTCAATAGTGCTCGTCCGTTCTATAATTGTAAAGCCGGCACAGCTTCTAGAGTTTTGTATAATCTCTCTCTCTCTCTCTCTCTCTCTCTCGGTGTTCCATCTTTCATGGGGCTCTGCGCTTCTTCTGAGTCTGTGCAAAAGAAGGAGAGAGATAAGAGCATAGCATACTTAGTTGGAGATTTATGTCCGAGGTGCTGTGATGGTGATAAAGGAATTTCAAGGCTTGCTTCTCTTTACTCCAGGCAAGGGAAAAAGGGGCCGAATCAGGACTCTGCAATCCTCTACCAGGTATGGGATTTATATGCCGAAGCCCCAAATCTTTTTGTTTGTTATCACTGGTTTTTAGTTTAAGTAAAAGAAAAAGTTGGCATCTTGGTTGCAGTTTTCTTGTTGGTGTTTGAGAGTTTGTTCATCTGGATGAAAGAGATCGAAATCCATGGTTTTCTTTCTAAATAATCCAACTTTCTAGGCTAAGTTGAAAGATTTGAGCTTTCTTCTCACATATATTTTTGATTTGGGGATTAAAAAAAACTTTTTTGCTTCTTTTACTTGAAATCCTAGTAAGGAATCTCCAATAAAAGAGTTAGGTTTGGTGTTTGGTGATGGATTCAGTTTGTTTTCTTTCTTTGGAAGCTGGATTGGTGTATTTATTGAAGGTTCAACTGAAAGATGACTTCTGGTAGAGTATCCTTCAAATGATTCTCTTAATAAGTTGAGATTTTGGAGATGGATTCTCCTAACGATGCGTTATTATTGACATGCCTTGTTCGTAATAATTTCTTGTTTTTTATTGGAAATATTCCTCTGAATATCTGCAATATAGCCATGTGGGTGACAACAAAGCTTAATAATTATAAATAAAGAAAGACACCAACTTGATAAATCTTGTCTTCTTCTTATTTATATCATATTGCAGCTAAATTATGGAGACTAACTTGAGAGATTTCCTTCTTTGTTGTAATTGTAGGGGTTTGGAATGGAAGATGGTGTGTTTTGTGGAGTTTTTGATGGTCATGGAAGGAATGGTCATATAGTCAGCAGGCTAGTGAGAGACTCTCTACCCTCTCTTCTGCTGCGGCATCGCGTTGACAATGCCTATGACTCGAGTGACTGTGATGACATGAGCTCAATCGATGACCGGCTCAGCTCAGCTTCATCGCCAGAGCTTTTTGATGAGTGGAAGGAAGCCTGCATCAGTGCATTCAAAGCCATGGATAAGGAGCTTGAGCTCCACCCAAAGCTGAACAGCTTCCATAGTGGAACCACAGCAGTGACCATCATCAAACAGGTAACAGAACATATCAAAGCTCAGAATTTTATCACAAATTTCATCGCCATAGCTTGTGAATTCTCATATTTCACATGATCTGATTTACAGGGAAGTGATTTAATCATCTCTAACCTTGGTGATTCAAGGGCAGTATTGGGAACTATATCAGAAGAAGGTTACTTAAAGGCTGTTCAGCTAACCACAGATCTAAAACCAAATGTTCCCCGTAAGGAAGCTCTTCATTGTCAACTTACTAATTGCTTATATAACTTAATAAGCAGGAATAATGACTCAGTAATCTGTTATGCAGATGAGGCTGAGAGGATAAGGAAGAACAACGGTCGAGTTTTCGCATTACGGGATCAGCCTGACATACAAAGAGTATGGCTACCTGATACAAATTTTCCTGGCCTTGCCATGGCTCGCGCTTTCGGAGACTTTGAGCTTAAGAACTATGGTGTTATTGCAATTCCTCAAGTCTCATACCGCCGGTTAAGAAACAGAGATCAGTTTATAGTTCTTGCAACAGATGGGGTAATTGATTTAACTAAGTTCCTTCGGTTGAATTCAATCCTGATGAGTTTTTCCAGTTTTCTGAATCATAATTGTGAATGTTACAGGTTTGGGATGTTCTTAGCAATGAGCAAGTTGTGAAGATTGTTTGGTCAAGTTTATTGAAAGGAAAGGAGCCATCCAAAGCAGTAGTGAAAGCAGCAGTTCGTGAGTGGAAACGAAAGTATCCTTCTCATAGGGTAGATGATTGCTCTGTAGCTTGCATCTTCTTTGATGATAGATGAAGTGGTATTCATGGCGGTTCAGAAGCTAAGCAGACCTGTAAACTCAGTTCACAACCAGAACAATTGAGTAGAGAGCTTGAAGAAAAATGGAAGAAAGAAGAAGATTAGTGCGGTTGTATATATTTTTCAGCACTAGCTATTGTGACTAGTTTAAGCTCCTTTTTCTTACCTTTTTGACTGGGATAATTGAGCTTCTTGTGAGCTCTCTTTTCTAGTCTGAGTACACCATTGGTGTGAAGCGGCAGACCTTCTCATAGTTCTATCTGATAATAGTTTATATGTATATATTTAAATGAGCATTTCCACCCTTTGGCTAATTTGATTTGAAGTCAGTGCTTGAAGCATTTTGCTCCAATATGGAAGCTGTGTTTAAGCATTTGTTTAGGAGAACTACTTCTTATTAATAATTATAATTAATTATTAATCTTTAATGATTATGATTGAATTTGTTAAACGCTTAAAAAAATGGGGGAAGAAAGCTGAAACTTAAAAAAAGGAGCCTTCTAATAATTTTGCTGAATACGCGGGATGGAGACCACTTGTTGGGGGACAAAATGTCAAAAACCTGTATAAGAATTTATATTCTTAATGAAAAATATATTTTTGTTATTTTATGCATAACAGTGGATGAGTGACTTTACCCTTAGAGATATGATACGAAATGAGCTTATACGTAAAAAGAATGGAGTAGCTTCAGTTGAAGATAAGATTAGAGAGAGGCGCCTTAGATGGTTTGGTCAAATAAAACGGTGGCCTTCTAATGACCCAGTTAGGAAAATAGCGGTATTAGATTTTGATTTATGTTAAGAAAGGTAGAGATAGACTTAAAAAGATTTAGTTAGAAAATATTAGAACTGATTTGTCTTTATTAGATTTAAACGAGAATTTGATTTTTAACATGATAGAAATAGAATGGAGAAAAAGGATTCATGTAGTCGACCCCACGTAGTGGGACAAAGGCTTGAGGTTGTTGTTGTTATATGTTATGCATACTAGTTTAAGGTTTCATTTGGAACAATTTTTTTACTGCTTCTTAAAACAACTTTTTAGTACAAAAATTAAAAATTTTATACTAAAAACTGCTTTAAAAAGAATTAGGAAAGTCGTCCCAAATGAAGCCTAAGTCCATGTGAATTAACTTTTTGTGCTTAGAATTTAAAAAATTATTAACAACTTCATAAAATTAAAATAGATTCATTTTATAAATGTTTTTATAATAAATAGATAAAGTTTATAAACTTATTAAATAATTCTACATATGATTAAATAATAAAATGAAGTGTGAAAAAGCAATTGGACTGGATGATATTTTAGTAGATGTGTGGAAATATTTGAAAAAGATATCAGATAAATAAAAAATGAGTGTGTTGATTTCTATTTGTAAGATTAAAGGTGATGCACAAGAGTGTATGAATTATAGATAAATTAAGTTAATGTGTCATATACTAAAGGTATGGGACAAAGTAATTCAGCATAGGTATAAAAGAGTTATGGGACAGCGTGATATTAATGTTGGTCAAAATCAATTTGGATTCATACTGAGTAGTCTACTATGGAAGCTATACATTTATTGAAAAATTTCATAGAGAAGTATTGGGAGAATAAGGAGGATCTACGTATGATATATATTAATTTAGAGAATGTATATGATAAATTTTCAAGAAAAATATTTTGGAGAGCTTTAGAAAAAAAGAGTTAATAATGCTTATATTTAAAGAGTTGTTATTTATGTTCAAACATGTGGTGGTTTGACCAGATATTTTCCTATTTTAGTTGGATTACATCAAAGATTAACTTTAAGCCCATATAATTTTGCTTTAGTTGTGGATGTTATTGCTAGACATTTGCAAGAAAATGTACTTTGGTATAGGCTTTTTGGTGATGATATTCTTATTATTGATAGGACTAGAGAGGGATTAGAAGGAAATTTTCAATTATGGAAGTTAATCTTAAAAGTTTAAATATTTTTGTTTGAGTACATCTAAAGTCAAATATATTGAGTATAATTTTAGTAGTAATAAATCTAGTTAGGAGACTGGGACTTTTGTCGATCATGTCATTAAAAAGAGTACACATTTTAAATATCATGGGTCTATTGTTCAAAGTGATGGTGAAATCGATGGGGATATTATTAGTAAAATTCAAGTTGGATGGTTGAAGTGGAAGAATGCGTCGGGCCTAATGTGTAATCGAAAAAGACCCCTAAAAGTTAAGGAAAATTTTTATAAGATTATATACAGTGAGATCTACAATGCTTTATGGTACAAAATATTGACCATTCAAAGGGAAGCATAAAATTAGGTTGTGGTGCATAAATGAAGATGCTCAGGTGGATGAGTAGCATTACTCTTAGAGACAAAATGTGAAATGAGTATATATAGGAAAATGTTGGAGTAGCTCCAATAGAAAATAAGATTAGAGAGGGTCGCCTTAGGTTTATTTGGTCACATAAAACATCAACCTTCTTATGATCCGGTTAGGAGAGTGGATGTATTAGATTTGGTCTATGTTAACGAAAGTATGAGTTAGACCTAAAAAGACTAGGTTATGAAGTATCTTTTTTTTATTAGATTTAAATGAGAATTTGACTCTTAATATGACACAATGGAGAAAAAAGATTCACGTTGTTGACCCCACGTAGTGAGATAAAGATTTGATGTTGTTATTGCCGTTATTGTTAATCAAACTAATAACAAATTTGAGAAATATTTTTATAATCATATTATATAAATGTGAAGCAAGAAATTATACTTATATAATTTTGAATTAAATAAGACTCGACCTTCATCAGCTCCCAAAACTACTTCAGTGTCCCCTCTTCAAACAACATATGAAATATTTCTTTTTCATAAACGAAAGCTTAGCCCCTAAGCTGCATGTTCATGCACAGGGAAGAGCTCGCAATGAAAATAAGAAAAAAAGCACTCTATTTTCTATGAGACTGAGGATTCGTTTGGGACGGCTTTCTTATTTTTAATTTTTGTATTAAAAAACTTATTTTAAGCAGTAAGAAAGCCTACAAAAAAATAGGCCGTTGACAAACGATCGACTTTGAGAAAGATTGGCGGCCACCGACTCTCCTCCACTCTAACTTCCACTCCAATGATGAGATCTCCTGCCACCCTTTGTCAATGCTTCACGCAAAAATCAACCCGCCCTCTCGCTCAACTTCCACTCCAATGCCTCAATCCCTTGGCTGACCATTCAATTCTTCCGCCGATCCACTATATCAGATATTCATCCTCAGCTATTCTTCTTTTACTAATTTCTCTATTTTTCTGGCTATTTCATTCTGCACATTCATCCTTCTTTCATGCTATCGAGGAACGATCTTAATATTAAAGAGAGCTCACCCATCAAAATTGGAGATATCCCCTTTTACCTCAATTTAATTTTTTTTCTAACATAAAAAATGTTATTCAAACTAAACTCACCACTGAAAATCTCATTAAGTTATTTTACTATTTTCTAAAGCAATTTTTTTATAAAAAATTTCTAAAAAACTTTTTAGAAAACAACAAAAAAACGGTGACAAACAAAATCTAAATTCTTTAAAAGAGTGATTTCTTGAAATATAAGTTCCTGCTGTTTTAAAGAAATTCATCTGGACAGATTATGTAGAGGTTCCATACTCAATCTCCAATCAACTAGAAATTATTCTATGCAAAGTCCGAATAAAAAAACCATCGGTATTGTTGACATACACTCACATATTCGAATAATTCTTCTCGTCCAATATGTTACCTTAAGATTAGAGAACTCCAAAAAGGCAAACAGAGACACAAACTGTGATACATATATGGACGCAAGGACATTGAGGAACTGCTTTGACAGAGAAAATAGTGATCGATCAGCTAAATAAAAAACCACCATAAATAACTTAGTCCCTGAAGAAGCAACTCTGCAGGCGAATATCATAACCTCGGACGCGCAAATTTGCACTGAGCTTCTGGCGTTTGCCGCTGCGTGACTGTACCTTAATTTTGAGAAAATACACGTATGATCCATCTGGGAACGTAGTTGTATGACGGGTATCCCACCACCGCTTAGCCACAATCACCTTATGGAAAATCCAAATATCTTCATCAGTTACTGGTAATCCAGAGCGCTCGAGGGATCCTTTATTTGTCTCGTTGATTCTATCCACCACGAATCGGCCGAGCTCCTGAATCTCTTTATTCTTCTTAACGTTGTGAAATACTTCGATGCTTATGCCTTGGGTGAAGAAGAGGAGAACCAGAGAGGAGAAGATCAACAAGACAGTGCGAGGGCATTCCATGACTGAGTATTATCACCATTTGGTGCTGTGCTGCAGCTTTATAGAAAGCTGAAAAACCGCGTTTGATCAGGTTTTTGATAGACTTTGCTTTGACGTCGACTGGTAAGAAAGAGAAGTTGTAATGGCGTGCCTGCACTCGTCCTATTACGTAGCATCTCTCAGGTATGAGTTGGAAGCAAATATTACAACGGTACAATTACAGTCATTTTAAGTTATTTTAAATTATGGCAATAATTTAAAATATTTTTAAAAAGGAGATATCAGTATCATCAACCATGGTCAAGCTGTTTATAGAGATTGTGAATCAAGCTGTTGCTTGCAGTAATATAGGACAGTTTTAACCTCTTTTTAAAAGAAAAATTGGTGCCATTTGGAAAGAACTTTGATGTCTTCTAATGAAAATTTTATAAGAATTGGATGTGGATGGAGAGAGAAAATTTCTATTTTTTTTTAGATTTATTTCATATTTGTTAGGGGTTTTTTAATGTAAAAAAAAAAATCCTTTCTAAAGAAATTTAGAAAAAAGAAAAATATTTTTTAGAAATAGAAAATTGTTCATTCATGTACATTCACGCTCAGAACGTAGGCGCTTGTTGTTGTTGTCGGCAATGGATGTCATTAGTTGGTCGCTTGGGATGGACAAGTACGCAAGCCCAAGCATAATTTCATGCATGGATTGAGGGTGCAAACGAGTCAAGTCAACTCGCGAGTAGGCTCGAGCTTGACTTGTTAACGAGCTTGCGAGTCGGGCTTAGCAAATTATTGAGGAGCTCTCACGGCCACAAATGACAGTCCCAATCTGGATTGGTACTTAGATTCCGATGCAACATCTCATCTCACCAATGATATCAACAGTCTTACACTTGGTGAACAAATACCATACAATGGAACAGACAACATAATCATTGGATCGAGATGGCAGCATGATACCCAAAGCTGACACTAGAGCTTGACTTCTACCAACCCACAACCGTAAGCTTAATTACCCCAACTTCTTCATATCCCTACACTCTCCCACAATCTCCTTTCCATTTATCATCCACGGAGGCAGAATACCAAAGCCCTACATGGGATCCTAGTTGGGTACCAATTGGGTACCCATGATTTACTCAGACGGGCTTCGCCCACCCATAGTGACTTTCGGGATGTCATACCCACGTACATATACCCACCCATTTTTCATGCTTTTTGAACGTAGTCTGCCACAGACTGGTAGCCTTGAGGCCATCTTGTTTCCCTTTGCTCTAATTGCAAACTTTTATGTCACATATTAGAATTTATCGTAGTCACAACGTAGTTAAATGTTGCACACTACATAGTGAGGATTGCAGTAATATAAGGTATACAGTGATTAGCAATGTAAATCAATTTATCCCCCAATGTTGAGTACCCTCTCATATCCACCCACAAGGCCATGGGCGTACCCATTGGGTATGGGCGGGTACATGGGTGGGTGTGGGTATGGGTACCCAATGCAAGACTCTGCAGAATACCGAGCCCTAGCTGCGACCATCACAAACATCATATGGCTATGCCAGCTATTACAAGATTTCAAAGTACCTATATTGCACCCGACGGATCTTCATTGTGAAAACATCTCAACCATAGCACTAGCCAACAATCCAGTCTTCCATGCAAAGACGAAACACGTAGAAATCGACCATCAATTCATTCGACACCAGATACACTCAAACATCATACGAGTCTATCCGATTAGCACCCAACATCAGATAGTAGACATCCTCATGAAGCCGCTCTCCACCTCGCGCTTCCATCTGCTTCGTGCAAGATGAGAGTTCACATGAATCCCTCATCTTGAGGGGGGGTAAAAAGGACAGACGAGCTCCACCGCAAGAACGAGGTGCAAGTTGTTATATTGGAGTAACCGTTAAAACATATATTTTAACAACTTTAATTTATGCTTATTAAATTTTAAAACTAAAATATCAATATCATCAACCATGGCCAAACTGCTTATAGAGAATGGGAATCAAGCTGTTGCTTACACTTATATAGGACAGTTTTAACCTCTTTTTTAAAAGAAAAAATAAATGCCAATTGTAAAGAACTTAGACATCTTCCAATGAAAATTTTATAAGATTTGGATGTGGATGGAGAGAGAAACTTTCTAATTTTTTAAATTTATTTCATATTTGTTAGGGTTTTTTTAATGTAAAAAATAATATTTCCTTTGAAAAGAAAATTAAAGGTTATATGTCATCAAAAATCGTCTTGAACGGGCATGAATCTCGACATAAATATAAATCATAAGCTTTTAAAATTAAATTCGGGATCGTCCAAGCTCCGATTTTAGCAAGCTTATAGTCAAATGAAATATCTCAAGGTGATGAACTCAACGACATTATAATCAGTCCAATCCAAGTCCAAATGAGCCCAAATCAAAGGTATCAAAACAAACTTGAAAGCTTTAGAGCATTAATTGGGATGACCATGGTATTCAAATATGACATGCTTATAGTCAAATCGAGTGGCTCAATGAGACGAATCCAAGGAGCTTGAGATCACTCAAATCTAACATCATTAAAGCACTCAAATGCTCAATAAATTCTCTATGATCAAGAGAACCAATATCAAACGTCTGATGGAATACTCCCAACCCATCCTTGATCTTCTCCATATTTACTAATCATGTCACTCCCCAAAAACTATAAATAACCATCATTCTTCACATGGTGGGGGAGGAAAAGTTGAGCAAGCTTTAGAGCTCTCTTACACTCTCCATCTAAAACTGCCACTATTGAAGTTCTTGTCGACCACGTCGGCCCCCAACTACAGTCCCATCGACCACCGTTGCCCATTGACTACGGTCCCTCCGACCCTATCACACACTGACTACAATCTCTTTGACCACCGTCGCTCGTTGACTACTACCCATCAGATCATTATCGTCCGCCAACTATGGTTTCTCCGACCACCATCACCTGTCGATTATAGTCCCTCCGACCACCCTCGCCCGTCGACTAAGTCCACTACGACCACCTTCGCTTACTGACCACAGTCTCTCCGACCATTGTCGACCGCCGATTACGATCCTTCCGACCTCCGTAGCCTGCTAACTACAACCCTACTTACTAAGCAAACAATAATGGTAACACCTCTTAAGAATATCTGGCAAGTTATAATATGCTATAAAAGTTGTATTTATTATATTAAGCCAACACCCTCCTCCGAGGAGGGATATCATTTGTAATCAATTATCAATACTAGTGGATTCATTTAAGCTAGGCTGGCGTTATAGGTTTTTCTTTTTTTAGAAATTTTCATGTAAAATTCTTGGTCTTTTATGAATGTTGTACCATATTGCACTCTTCAATTGGTTTTTGTGTTGGATCTTCGTACAAAGTTAAGATGTTAAATTTTATATATCTCTACCACCACGAATATTTCAGGACGCAATAGTTTGGCACCGTTTGTTGGAGACGATTCCTAGCTGAGGGGAAATTTTATGCAATTTTGTATCGTCCTGCAAGTATCAACCAATGTCGTATATTTTTTGTGGAAACAAATTTAGACTAAGGGGCAACCTTGGCTGCAACTTTCAATGCGATTATAGTTAAGAAAAGTTTCTCCAATATTTTTAATGTCCAAGGCAATGCCATTGATAACTAGTTTTTATAAAGCTCTCAAAAAATTTAAAGATGCTTCACAAAAATTTTAAGCTCCATGCAGTCTCTAGCTGGACTTTTACTTCTTAGGCAAGGTATTAATTTTGACCTCGAAAAGGCAATAATATTCTAAAGAAATATCAATTTTCACATTTGATTTGAGATACACGTGGTGTTCGCCACCTCTTAATCAAAGTATAATCAATCCCAGGGGGATTTGATTCGACCCCTTTTACGCAGATTAATGTCATCGAGCAACGCTTTAACAAAAAAAACTCTGATAAGTCAATTTTTTTGGTGGATTATCTCGGCCTCTTCCACACAAATTAATGTCATCAAGCAATGCTTTGACAAACAACCAAGTTAACGTTATCGAGTAATGCTATGACAAACAACCTCAGATAGGTCAAACATCCTTGATGGATTCTCTTAGCCTCTTCCACACATGTTAACGTTATCGAACAATGCTCTGACAAACAACCTTAGATAGGTCAAACATCCTATGGAGAGCAAATTTTATATATATATATATACATTTCTTATAAGGCTAAATGCTTAATAACTTCCTCAATTATAATTGTTATAATTGGAGAGCAAAAAATTAAAATTTATATAAGCAATGCATAAATAACTTTGAAATGAGTTCATATATATGTATTCATTACTTTAAGTAAACTCCAATCTCATGCAAAAAATCTCTAAAATATTGAGAGATGATCAAAAGTATTTCATAATGAAAAATTTTGCATCTTTATTATCACTTAAATATATTTTTCACTACTACGCAAGCCCAAACATATTTTAATACAGGGATTTAGGGGTCTGAATGAATTAAGCCAAATCGCAAGCTTGTTCGAGCTCGACTCGTTAACGAGCTTGCGAGTCAAGCTTATTGAGTTTTTGAGCTCAATCTTGAGCAAAATTTTGAACTCGTTGGATTATTGAGCTCGAGTTTGATCCTCATGATGCTTGACTCAATTACTCGTCGAATGGCTCGAGTGCGGAATTCGAACTGTGGAAGGCTGAATTGCGGGGCGTGCTCAGACGCAAACAACGTGCTGCTCTGACACCAAGGCTGGGGCGGCCGCAGACGTGAAATCGAAACTCGAACCGTGGAATCGAGCTATTCTAAGAGCTCGTTTTCATTGGAACAAGCCGAGCTTGACTTGCTTTTTGAGCTAGACTCAAGTTCAATCTCGGGATTTAGCTCGCGAATCGATCTTGAGTTAGGCCTAACTCAAATTCGACTCGACTCAGTTGCATCCCTACATTGATTAGTCTTGTTCACAATTTTTAGGGGTCTTGAGTTCTCTATTTTAAACTTGGTAAATGCAATGCAGGCCATCCTCCGCCATTGTCGACTGCTCTCATCGTTGGTTAACGTTGAACAACTACTGTTCTTTTTTTTGGGACATCTAGGCCATTTAAGGCAAACTCACACACACAACGCATACACAAAGACTTGAACTCAAGACCTCTTAGTTGGAAGCATAAGTTCTCAACCAACAGGCCAAGGTGAGCTGTGTAACAACTACTGTTCTCAATATATTGTTATTTTTATTTTACATTTTTTACTTCAAATTAAAAAAAAAAAACTTGTATATTTATTATATGCTTAATCAAATAATTCACAAATATATTTTTAATGCACTGTTTTTATTTTACATTATGAGCCTTTTCCATCGAAGAGAAATAAAGAATGACCCCTAAGCTGGATTTAATTGAGTTAGATTTTGCCTCTTTATCATTTCGGTAATTAAATCAAATTCTTGAAATCCTGCTTGCAGCTGGAAGGCCAGAACCGCCTTCCTCCCTTCCCGGAGAGGCTCAAAGCGGCGATATGGAAGACCTACCACCTTCCATCGTCGTCGAGATACTGAGTCGGCTCGGTGACTCAACCGACCTCGCTCGCTGCCGACTCGCTTCTCGAAACCTGCGATTCCTCTCCGCCGACGTCCGATCCATATCTGTCGTTTGCTCTCGCGAACGCTTTCTCCGAGCTCGCGCTCCGGCGACTAGGGAACTCACTATTCCCTTCCGATCACTCGTCTTCAACCTGCTTTCCTTCCTGTCGAGAAGCGATGGAGGCTGCGCTCTCCGCTCACTCTCTCTCTCCGTGGAGGAACCCGACGCTGCTAGTGCTGATGAGGAGGAGGATGATGGCGGGTTTGATGATGGTGACGATCTCCACCTTACTGCTGCTGATTTTCTTTCTCAGTGGCTGCCATTGGTTGCATTAGGGCTGACATCACTCTCTATTGGGGACTACTGGTGTCAGGCTTGCTGGCGGCCGTCGACGGCGTTTCATCTTATCTCGGAACAATGTGATTTTATTACACTTATTGTTCTCTGTTTTTTTTTTCCTTGATTTTGTTTACGTATCTGCAGATACAGGGTAGATTGGGCTTGTGAATTAGTAGATAGACTTGAGATTTGGCTGTACATATGGTACTTGCTTTCTCATTGGGTCTTATCTGATTATGACTTTATTTTGCTTGTTAATCCCCCAATGACTTTTTTAGTCTTTTATTTGTTTTGCATGCCAAAAACGTTATTTTGTTGGAAATAATCTTACCTTTTGAAGCGATGAATAGCGACGGCATATAATCAACTTAGAGCATCTCCAACCGAACGCCAAAAGATTTTATAGGTCGTTCGGTCGCTACAGCTGAACGGCAAATCTTCCCATTTACTTGCGCCCACGTATTTTGCTCTCTCAACCGGAAAAACGCGCGAAAGGGAGAAGGATTTTTAACTTCGCGGAAGCACATAAAATGAGGTTAGATTGGTGCAGCACCACAGCATTTTGGAGTTTTGTTGGAGATGCCCTTAAAAGAAAGTTATTAGCGGTTCCCCCGGGGCTTTTGCACCCAACGATGTCTTTGACACAAAAGTCAATAACTGATCAATGTAGTATAATTCTGAACACATAGTAGAATAATCTATCTTGAGATTTCTCGTTACGTCTCTCAGATGCATATAAAAATTCTTGCATTGGAAAACCTTGAAATTAGAGTGGAGATTATGTCATAGTAAGATGTGGTGGCCTCATGTGCACTTTGAGTTAAGGAACCTTGTTACTATTTTAACTGGCAAATAGTTCATGTGGTAATCCGGGATTTAATTTGTGGTAACAAGAGTCAGACTTAGAAACAACAATGTAGATTTGGCTCAAAGTTAATGATCAAGGCTAGTCAGATCATTATTGGAGGTCGGCTCAAAGGCGGTGGTGATTACCAAGCTCAAAAACGTCTATAGATATTGGACATAGAAGCAATGATAAATGCTTTTTTCCTTTTACTTTTTATGTTAATTCTATTTCATAATCTTATTATGAATTACCTTCCCTCTACTACATGCTAAAACAACCCAAGTAGATTTTCTATTGCATTGTCTTCAATAATCTCCAATAGAACCATTTAATAATTTATTACCATTCAAGTATTTTAAAATTTTCATTTTTGCCACAAATCACTTAGTTATTATTTATTCCTTTGTTGCTCCATACCATCCAATCATTGTTATTATTCCTTTTACGTTCATAAGGTTGCATCTTTATAAATATCCATACTGTTTTTTATAATAAAAGGCATGTTATCTAACCTCAACACTCCTTATCAATTGTCCCTCCAATATTGGTGACTTATTACTAGTAATGATTTATATATTAACAAATAATGATTTTTCCATTGATTCAATGATTCATAAGGCAAGTATAAGGCAAAATAATGCCTTAAATGATGTGATGATGAAGGTCCTATTCCTTGCTTCTTGTTTTCTTTTTAGGTTTGTTCCGTAGTTAATACTCATCTTTTTCGTATGGGTGTTGGATCAATATATTTTAGATCCAATGGCCACAGTTTGTGAATCTTTTTAATTTGTTTACAAATGAGATGAGGTACCATATATCCTGAAGGATCTAAAAATGCCATAATGTTTAAAAAATCCATTGCACTTGTAGTTTGCGGTGTCTTTTCATCTTCTTGTCTTGTTTAGTTGTTCCTTTTTTCCTTGCTCTTCTTATTCCTTTACTTTCCCATTCTTGTTAGTCTTTGAATCTGCTAGAAACACCAAATATAATATGCTTGTATGCTCCATTTATCTTTTCATCATTTTCATCTTCCTTTGTTATCTTCTTTTCTCTTTGTTCCTCTTCCTTGTCTCACACTTCTCAGTTAGTTTGAGTTCATAGATCATTCTTTAAAAGGTGAAGGGAAGGATGTGGCTAAGGCAACATTCAATTATTTTAAAATCTTTGCTTCTATGACAAAAGTTAATGCTATTCAAGTCCTTTCAATGGAAACCAAGACTGACTGGCCACTTTGCTAACTTAATGTTAAGAATACATTCTTGAATGATAATTGTTGAATCACACGGCGAGGGGGCCCACATCTTTGATAGTTCAGCAATCGATGGGCTGCAGTGAAGATTTTCTCTTTTTACACCAAGATCCATGGGATTGATTCCAAGATCCGTGGAATATAATTATTAGAGTCAATTAGATTAAATGACTTTCCTCTTCTATTTATTATAATTAATTAGATTTAAAATTTTCATTTTTGTTTATTCTCCTAGAGTGTCTATATATAATGATTCCTATATATGTAATGATTCCAATGAATAAAATTTGAATTCAATTTTCCCTAAACAAATTTTTCATGGTATTAGAGCTCAGGAAAAATCTAAACCTTCTCTGAGTGCCAGTGTCAAACATTCCTCCCTTTCTTCCAACCTTCAGTCGATGGTAACTCTCCATCATCCTGTCGATAGCCTCTCTTCAAGCACCAGTAGCCCTTGCCCAAAATTCATTCTCTCTTCCAACAGATGAAACCCAATCATATCCATGGATAGCGAGATCTCATCTTCCTCAAATATTATTGATTTAAACACCAAAAACTATGGACTTGCAGACAACTCTTTTTCTCTTACTCCTCTCATCACAAACTATTGATTTAATGGCAAAAGTTTTTGCAACGCTCTCAACCGGTGAGAATGTTTATTTGTGGGAGAGGGAAAGAGGACTATCTTACTGGTGAAGCCCCTATACCACCTCAAACCGATCCTTTCTATGGAATATGGAAAGCAGAGAATCATCAGATCATGTCTTGACTCATCAACTCCATTAATGTCAAAATTGGTGAGAATTTTCTTCTTTACGAGAAGGCCCAAGAAATATGGGAGGCTATTAAAGAGACTTACTCCAGTTCCGACAACACTTTCGAGCTATTCAAAATTGAGACCATCCTTCATGACTGCCAACAAGAGGACATGATGGTAATTCAATATTTTAATATTCTAACCAGTTATTGGCAATAGATATGTTTGAACAGTATGAATGGAAATGCTTGGAAGATCATGCACTTCACCGGAAGATTGTTGAGACAACAAGAATATTCAAATTCTTGATGGTTTTGAACAAGAACTTGGATGGATTTAGAGGATAGATCATGGGAACCTAACCTCTTCCAAATCTCTAGGAGGCCTTTTCTGAAGTTCGAAGGGAAGAGAGCAGAAGAAAGGTCATGTTGGGAGGTCTACAAGGATCTCCAAAGGTTGAAGAATGAAATGCTCTTACTATCCGTAGCAATCGAAACCCCTCACATGTTGAAAATTGACATCAAAAGAAGGGAGGAAGACCATGGTCTGATCACTATGCCAAATCAAGACATACAAAGGGGACATGTTGGAAGATTCATGAAAAACCACCTGATCGGAAGGCAAACAAATCAACACAAGAAAGCAAGGCGAACTCTGTCAACACCATGCAAGATCAATCCATCAAAGTTGAAGCCATTCCTTTCACCAAGAAGCATTTAGAGATGCTAAAGTTGCTTCTTAACAATATCACGAACTAACAGTCTCCAGAACGTGCTACTAGTCTACACGCTCACTCAGGTATAAAACATTCAAAATTTTGTTTTATTGACTCAGGAGCATCAGATCACATGACAGGAAACATTACACTCCTTCATGACCATCAACCGTATCCTCCTTCATGACTATCAACCTTATCATTCAAATCGAGTAGTTAAGGTTGTTGGTGGCTCAACATCTAAAGTTTTGAAAACTAGTTCCGCTTTTGTCACAAAAGTTATCGCCCTTAAATCAATGCTTTTTGTGCCCAATCGTGAGTGTAATCTGGTTTCTATTAGTAAATTGACTCGAATAGTAATTGCTTACCAATTTTCTCCGATAATATATGTATTTTTTAGGAATTGGATTCAAAGAAGAAGATTGGCACTGCTGATATGTGTTTTGGGTTATATGACATCAAGACACACAAATCCTTAATTGTTGCTAAGAATCATCCTATTGTGAGTCAGTTTGTTGAGAGTCATTCTAGAGTTAGTCAAGATAGTGAGATTATCATGTGGCATTATAGGTTATATCATCTAAATTTCATGTATCTTGAAAAGTTTTTTTCCCGTTATTTATTAATAAAAATTCAAATTTGTTCAAATGTGAAAATTGCCAATTGGCTAAACATACCTGGTTTTCTTACTCAATTGTTCCTCACCAACCTTCTAAATCCTTTGCCTTGATCCATAGTGATATTTGGGGACCCTCAAAGGTTAAAAATATATGTGGTGCAATGTGATTTGTGATTTTTTTTATGATCATACTGTACTCACTTGCTTTATTTAATGAAGGAAAAATCTGAAGTTGAAAAGATATTCAAATCATTTCAACTGATGATTCAAAACTAGTTTGATATAAAATTCAAAACTTGAAAGTCAGACAGTGAGAGAGAGTACGTTCATTCTATCATAAGAGAATACCTATCAAGCCAAGGGATAATTCAAGTGAGTTCATGTGCGTTTACGCCTCAACAAAATGGGGTTGCTGAAAGAAAAAATAGGCAACTCTTGGAAGTTGTCAGATCTATTATGGTTTTCACAAAAGTACCAAAATATATATGGGGGGAAGCCATTCTTTCTGATGCATACCTAATAAATAGGTTATCTACTCGTGTAGTAAAATTTAAAATACCTAGACAAACTCTACTCAAAGCCTATCCTTATGCTCGGTTTACATCATTAAATTTTTCACTTAAAGTTTTTGGGTGCTCTTGCTTTGTTCATATCTATTCATAAGATAGGAAAATGCTTGACCCAAGATCAAAAGAATACATCTTTATTGGCTATTCCTTGACAAAAAGAGGTTACAAATGCTTTTGCCCTACTTCTAGGAAGGTATTTGGAACCATGGATGTCACATTTTTTGAAAATAACCCATACTTTAGTAGTTTTGAAATTGAGGGGTAGAGTGAAGGAGAATTTCAAGCTTCGGAGTGAAATTTCTTATTATACAATAAAATAAAGTCCAGTCAAAATCAACAAATATCACAAGAAATTCAAACCACGAGTATTTCCAAAAGTATATCTCCTATGTCTCAACCTCCACCTTCAGACCTATCACCTTCACCCATAAGTCCTAATCAATCCCTGCAAAGAGCAACAATTAAGGAAAAATAATATGTATACTCAAGGAAAAGAGAGAAAAACCAGCATATGCAAAGCAGTGATACACGTCTTGCACCTGTAAAATCTCCTTCGATGGATCCAACAACTGTAGAGATTTATACAGAGGAGTAAAATGAGGAAGTTCAAAATGAAGAGTCATCAAATGGCCTGAAAGAATCATACCCCAAGCATTCAATCGAAAACATTCTCTCATATAACAGATTATCATACACTTATCAAGTCCCACTTTCCTAGTTGGATGATGTGCAAATTCCTACCAATATTTAGGAAGCTTTGAATCAGCCAGGATGAAGAAAATTGTTAAAGAAGAAATTATGGCCTTAGAGAAAATCAAACATAGGTAATTACAAATCTCTCACCAAGAAAGAAAGTTGTAACTTGCAAATGGGTGCTCACCGTAAAGCATAAGGAGGATGATAGTGTTGAAAAGTTGAAAGCTAGACTAGTTGCAAGAGGATTCACTAAGTTTTATGGAATTGACTATCAAGAAATTTTTACTCATGTTGTAAAGCTCAACACCATCAGGATTCTTCTTTCCTTAGCAACAAATTTAGATTGGCCCCTACATCAAGTAGATATCAAGAATGCATTCTTGAATTAGAACCTGAAAAAACTCTACATGGAGATTCCAATGGGGACTAAGAAGTCTTATGGAAGGGACAAAGTATGTAAACGGTTGAAATCCTTGTATGTATTAAAGCAGTCTCCTAGGGCATGATTTGGATGATTCTCAAAGTATGTAAATGGCCATGGTCTTAGACAATGTCAGGTAGATCATACCTTGTTTATTAAGCAGACAAAAAGAAACAAGGTAGCAATATTGATTGTATATGTGGATGACATCATCCTTACTGGAAATGATATAGAAGAAATAAAGAAGATTAAGCAGGCTCTGTCCAAAGAGTTTTAAGTTAAAGATCAGGATCACTTAGATACTTCCTTGGTATGGAGGTAGCTCGATCAAGCAAAGGTATATTTGTTTCCCAATGCAAGTATAACTTAGACTTACTGAAGGAGACCAATCTACTGGAATGCATGCCAGCCAGTACACCTATGGATCGTAAGAAGAAACTTGGGATAGAAAAAAATAATATTTGTATTCCTTCCGTGGACTTGCCATAATTGAAGGCTGGATATTAGCAAAGCCACCTTGGGGCGGATACCTTGGGATTCCTATACATGGTCAATTGTCAGAGTTGGCAAATATGCAGCTATAGAAGTGGGCATATCATTGACATGGATGCTTCTCCACCTTCGGATGACATCTCATGGCTAACTATTTGAGTAGATTTAGTGGGCATCTACAATATTATTTTCTAGAAATTTTATCATTCATTGTTAGTAGTTTTTAAGTGCAATTGTTGCCGTTTTGGTTATTTTTCTTTTATGATTTATTACTTTTTAATTTGACGAACTGTAAACTCTACAAATAGATCCATATTCTGGTTGAATAAAATATGGATCATTCCACCTTTCTTTCTCTCTATTCTCTTTACTCCTTTTTTCCTTACATTGACAAATTTTTTATTTAAATTTTAATGACTCAGGGAATCTAAATGATTGAAGATAAAAAAGTTGCAACCAATGATTACGAATAATGGAGATGTTTAGGCTTGTGGTAATTTAAAGATAACCAAGCTTTTTTGGACTATTAGAAAGGATATTTAAACTATAAGAAAATTCCTGTTTGAATAAAAAATATATATTTAATTTTATGCTAAGAAGGAATAGTATGATGTTGATATTTGTGCTAGGCAGTTGGAAATTGTAGGGAGCAATGAATAGATCTTCATAATTGATATTGAAAAGATATAAGATTGAGTTCCATAAAAATTAATTTGGCAGGCATTAAAGAGAAACTATGCTTACTAAAAGTTTGATGAAGTTACTTAAAAGATAATTATGATTCATTGACTATGATATAGAGAGCAAGTTGTCTCCACGATAATCTGAAGGTCTCCAAGTTTGTATCATGGAATGCCTCTCTTCAATGTAGAAGTAAGGTTGCATGCTTGAACATTCTCTCCGAATCTCTCATTAAAGGGTAACGGAAAGCCTAACAATATATGTCCTTAGTGGTGTAGTACTTATTAGTGCTAGAGTTTGCTGTAGATTAAGAAACTTAATATTTTTGGGTGCTTCTTCAAGTGTTTTTTTTTTATGACTTTCTTTAGAAGATAGGAAAATAATAAATTCATGTTATTTAAGTTTCATTTGGGATGGCTTTCTTACTGCTTCTTAAAATAGTTTTTTAGTACAAAAATTTTATACTAAAAAGCTATTTTAAGAAGCTTTAAGAAAGCCGTCCCAAACGAAACCTTAATCATCTACAATGAGGTCCAGACACGCAAAATTATGGCAAGGAGATAAATTTATATGAAAGGAATAGGAGTAGAACAAAGGGAACGTGTCCAGATATGCGAGAGACTTGTGCAAACTATAAATTAACACCATGTTAAGAACCAAACACGAATGAATGGAGGTCGATTCCTGAAGTTGACCCTAAATGAAAGCATTAGGCTAATGAGAATTTTTCATGCAAGCAGTTCTTAATTCCTGCCCTCAACAATTGCTTTAATCTCCTTTTAACTAATTGCACTCTGCCAATATTATTTGGTGAACTAATTGAACACTGATGTTGTAGAGGCTTTCTATGCTTCATGCCAGTTGTCTAGGCGATAATAAATTCAACTTTATAGAAACTGTTTTAGATGGAGGTAGACATTGTTAGCAATGCAAATTCCGTTTCTCATCATTTCACCTCTTGTCTCTAAAACAAATAAGATTTTATTGTTTAGCAGAGCATCTAGAAAAGCTAGAAATATATAAATTACAAGGTATGTTTTCACAGATTAATTCGAATAATTTCCGCATGCTAGGCCTAGGCTTTGTGAAAGTCTTTATGAACAGGGTGTTGGACTTCCCTCTTACATATTGGAAGATACTTCAGATAGCTTGCATGATTATTCATGGCTTCATGCATTTATTTATTTCAAGCCAGAATGCCGAGCTGTTGATTTATCCCTTTATTATTTTCGGACTTCAATTGTGTGTTTGATTTCCTTAATTTATTACTTTAGATTGAGTAGCTCTAGTAGAAGATAAGATTAGAGAGAGTCGTCTTAGATGGTTTGGTCACATTAAACGGAGGCCTTCCGATGACCCGGTTAGGAAAGTTGAGGTATTAGATTTGACTTATGTTAAGAAAGGTAGAGGTAGACCTAAAAAGACTTGGTTAAAAAATATTAGAAATGATCTTTCTTTATTAGATTTAAATGAGAATTTGACTTTTAACTTGACACAATGGCGAAAAAGGATTCATTTAGCCGACCCCACATAGTGGGACAAAGGCTTGATGTTGTTGTTTTTTTTTTTTTTTTTTTCTGAAGAAAGAGATTTCGGCCTTCTGATGACCCGGTTAGGAAAGTAGATGTATTATATTTGACTTATGTTAAGATAGTTAGAGGTAGACCTAAATAGACTTAGAAAATATTAGAAATGATCTTTCTTTATTAGATTTAAACGAGAATCTGACTTTTAACAGGACACAATGGAGAAAAAAGATTCCTGTAGCCGACCCCTCGTAGTGGGACAAAGGCTTGGTGTTGTTAATGTTGTTGAAGAAAAAGATTTTTACATGCTAAACCAGTTTCTTATGCATCTACATTGTGCAAAGAATGGAAACAAGGATCGTTGGTTATTAAGTTTTGTATTAATGACTTTTTACAAATGGTCAATAAGCTAGCCAGGATATCAACTTCCATATACCTGTTAACCTTTGAATAGAATGTGTTCTAGCGTTCTAAAAGTGATAATAAATTTTCCCTCCAGGACCAATGTGTTAGACCGGTCGACTGGACCGGTCCAGCCGGTCCAGGCGGGACCGGTTCACGGGAGAATATCACAAACAGGCGGAGAAAGCTTCCGCCTGGGCGGAAGCCGCGCGTGACGCACTCCTTGCGGGACGGTTTTTGGAAGGTTTTTGAATGGATTTTAGGAGGGAAATTGATTGTAGGGATTGTTTAGGAAATTCCTTTTGAATTGTATGCATTAAATAGTAGATTTTCCTAGGTTTTGAGTATCTTGAATTTGGCTGAAATTTGAGATCTCGTAGATTTAGGTTTTCTTTGGGCTCTAGCGGCGTCTAGAGATTTGGGAGAGATCGATCCTCCTCTCGAATTGAGGATCAATTGTATCTTGCTCTTTTATTCATCGTCTAAGTGGAATACAAGTCTTTTCTTGAGTTTTCTCTCGTATTTTCCTGAACAAGTGCTGTTTTCCTGCTGTAAACAGCAGAAATCCGCTGTTTTCCTGCTGTGGACAGCCATTGGGCTGCTGTTGGTTCGCCGATTTTGGATAGGTTGCTTGTGAATACAAGCACTTCCTATCACAATGATTTAAAAATTCTTCCTTTTGTCAAATCAGTTTGCTCTGATGCCTTATTTCCCATCAGGTTATTCTTAAATTGCTAAAATAATCTTATTGACAGCGTTGCTATAGATTAATATGCAGAGATTCTTACATTAACATCACTTTCAAATTATAAAAGTTTTACCTATCTTAAAACTGATACTCTCCTATAGGTGGCCTGTGTTTATGTTGCTGCTTGCTATATGTATTTATGATTTTCTTTTTCCTTACAGGTTGTAACCTCCTCAACTTGGAAATGAAGAACGCTTCCTTGTCGGTTGCTGGGCTTAAACCCATGCTGAATCTGATGACTTTGAGGCTTGAATTCATCAGATTAGATGATGAAGACCTAGACAAGGTCAATGAGTGCTTTCCTTCCCTTCAAATTCTTAAATTAATTGGAGTTGGAGGACTAAGAAAGCCTAAGATTGCCCTTACACAGCTAAGGATATGCCATTGGACGGTTTCAAATTTTCCCTTGTCTTTGGCAATTCATGCACCCAACTTAGTTGAATTGAAGTTAGAATGTGTTGAACCGAAGTATCTTGTTCTCGAAACCCCACTACTCTCTCAAATTGACCTTAAGATCAAAAAACCAGGCGGACATATCAAAGTTGGAAGTTTTCTTTGCTTGAAATCTGTCAGGATGGAAACATCATATCTAAAAGGCATCAAACAACTTTTTGAAGGGTGTCATGCTGTTAAGAAGTTGGAGCTTCAAGAATTCAACTCTTCTAAAATTGATGAATCATTCGAAAAATTTACAGTGCTTGACATTATCAGTACATTTCCCAATGTGGATGATCTTGAGTTAGGACCAGGAGCCTGGAATCAACTGGAAACTTCTTTTGTTGGCTGCAGGGACTCTTATATTTCCTGTGAGTGGAGGAATTTGAAGAGTTTGACCATTAAACTGCCGCCTGGTGATCTTACTATAGCTACGTTGTCTGTTTTGCTTAAATTTTGCATACCTTCGTGTGAAGTGGCAGTGTTTCTTCACAAAGATTCTCCTGATTGTACCAAGAATAGAATCATCGCAAGGTGCGCAGGCAATTTCCCAAGGTATAAGTGGAAATGGGGAATTTGGAAGGAAACATGTCTAGATTCCTTATTGGATTTACAGAATGATACGAACTTCTGACCTGGAGGTTTTCTCTAAACACTACAGGTTCTTTACTTTTTTTAGTGGTAGTTTTTTTCTGAAGTATAATATATTGGCATACAAGTATATTGAAAGTAGCAAATCTGCAATGAAAAGAGATTTATGGCAAACTATACTAACACTAGAAAAATGATTGAGGGATTCTTAGACTCACTTCTGTATATATTTTGATAAGACACAAGTTATATATAGTTTTTACTAGGCTTGATATTGTCTTTGTCAATCGTGTGATGATTTTATACTTCTAATACTCAATGATATTTGTAATTAAGATGTAATGCAGCAAAGTCTTTCAAACATTTTATGCCTTATTTTGTAAATTCCGTGGGAACAACTTCTTTTTACTTGAAGAAAACAGAACTTCGATACCTTTTTGTTCACAATCTATTTGCGCACACATCAGTCAGTTATAAAGCTTTATATAGTTGTGAAACCTTTGAAAAGCATTTTTACCCGAAACTTTTATGAGAAAAGTGTTGATATGGAAAGATTTCCAAATCTAAATTAGCATTGATTCAGAAGGCTTTCATGACTCATTATTGTAATTGATTAGGGAATAGATTATTTCCCTAATTAAGTTGATTTTATTGGATTTTTTTTTTGAAATGGGATATCCACCCACTGCCACCCTCGAAAGGGCGCTTGGCGGTGTGACTAATCCTCAACTGACCTAAAAGAGGCACCCACTCCAGAAATTGATGCATTAATTTATGGGATATAATTATTGAATTAATTAGGGATTTGATTAGGATTAGATTAGAAAGTTTTTTCCTAATTTATTTTGGCTCAAATCTATTAATAAAGCCCTGGGGGCTACTTTTGAATGTAAAAGATGAGAGGAAGAGAGAACTCATTGTAATTACCTATTGTTTTCCATTATAGTGAAATCATCATTCCCTCCCCGTGGATGTAGGCATCTTCGCCGAACCACGTAAATCGCCATGTTTATTGTGTTTGTGTTTATGTGAGTTTTGTTTCCACTACGATTATTTGCACAACAAAAAGAAGACGCGATGACTTTAATTTCTAGATTTGTTGAATTGTATTAAAGTTATTAATTGTGAGGATTTGATTTAGCCGAAGCATTGAATTTATTAAGATAAACTTCAAGAAATCCTATAGATATCTGGGCTGATTTGTTCCAGATTAGTTTAATGACTGAGGATTTATTGCTTCTATGGGGGCATACCGGCATAGACAATATAGTAGTATTTCTGTTGGCCTATACTTTTCATTTAAACTAATTAATAAAATATCTAAAGTATATACTAAGATTTCATTTGGGACGGCTTTCTTACTGCTTTTTGAAGTAATTTTTTAGTTTAAAAAATTTTTGTACTAAAAAATTGTTTTTGAAAGCAATAAGAAAGTTGTCCTAAATGAAGCATAAATGTTCTTGTGTTTAGATGTAAATGTGGCAAGCATTCCAAGAAGAATTATGCAATTTGCCTTCTTACAAGGTTTTGTATTATTTATTACACTTCTACTTGTGGGAGTAGCTTTTTAAGCTTAACAGTCTTGATAATCTACCAGATTCAATTAGAGTTGTTGAATTTGGTAAGTGCAGCTAGATTCCCTTTTCTGTGTATTTTTGGCACATTTATCTCTTTCTTTTGTTCACAAAACAGTGAGTTTGCTTACAAATATAGCCATCATATATTGGGTTTAATTTGAGTTCAATTTGCAATTGTCTAATGAAAGCCCCCTTAAACTATTGATGAGCAAATTTGCGGTGATATGTGTTTGTATTTGTGTTTGCTATTGTTGGGGATGATAATTGTCTCTTATCATGTTGAGCTGCTAATTATTTGATCTGATTGAATGATTTTCTTTTCTTGGATACTAAAAATATCAATACAGAGCTTCTAATTATCATATAGACCAAATTTGTGTTAAGATGCATAAAATTGCTTTTCTGTAAGCTTAAAAAAATATTACTTTGCAGCCCTCCACTCTAGGAGAAATTATTCTGTGCAGACACCGGACCGTTTGGAGGTAAATCAAAATACGTCACGTCACCTGGTATAAAGTCGCGTTACACAACAAATGGATGACGAGACATGTTTTGTTTCTTCTCTGGACGGCGTCCGTATCTGCACAGAATGATTTCACCCACTCTAGGGGTGTGAGTCAAGCCGACTCATGAGTCAAATTGAGTTTGGCTCGATAAATGGTTTATGAGCTGAGCTTGATGAGTTAATGAGTTAAGTTTGAGTTAATTTCTACTCTACTTGTTAGCTGGCTAGCATGCTTGTTTTAAATTTATGAATATAAAATATTTTTAAAATTCAAGAGTTCAACTGTTCAAGTATAAAGCTATTAAACATATTTAATTTTTTTATTTTTTTATATAAAGTGATTTTTTATTATTTATCTTCTAATTATTTATTAGTTTATAATTTTATCATAATAATTGTATAAACTATAATAATTCTTTCTTCTTGATTATAAACAAGCTGGCCCATGAGCCAGCTTGAATTCATAGAATTAAGCGCGAGCTTTTACTCGAATTCATTTAATGAATCAAATTTAAGCTAAGGATGATCCGAAATTTGGCTCGACTTATGCACACTCCTGCTCCACTTATACAACTAATATTTTTCCTTATAATAGTTCAACCAAAAGTTTTAAAAATATTTCTGTTGTTCAAAAAAATTAAAAATAAAATATTGCAAAACAAATTCTTAATGGCATTGCTATAGTGTGAGCAAACTTGCTACTTGATCATCATATCTAGCACGAATTCTCAAGCTTGAATATATTGATTTGATTGGATGTCTATTAACTAAGCTATGGGCCTATCTTTCGGCCATGTTTTATTCTTAACAATGATGATATGGCCAACTTTTGTAAAATAAATATGCTTCGAAAGTCCACTTGCTTACAATTAATTGCCCTAATGATTGTTTAGGACCTTAATTATGTTTTACTCATTAATTATATCACAATACATTAAAAAAAGTGCTAAAGTAACTCATAAACTTAGGGGCGTTGATTGTGATTGAAATAAATTTGTAAAGTAATTCTCTTTGAAAAAATTTTCCATTAATTAATTTTATATTATTTTCTTATTATTAATTTATTATAGACAAAATTATCTCTAAAAGCAAATTATCATCTCCTTTGATTACTTGGAAAAGCTTCTTGTGAGAAAACAATAAGGCAAAGCAATATTAAGCTCTTTTAATTAAGAATTCCATCTTTTATTCGCTAATCTTTAAGATCTATTTGGAACAGCTACAGCTTTTTATAAAGTTAATTGTGAAATTGTTATGGTGAAAACAACCAACAACTTAATGACTCTGGTTTTAAAAAACAACTTTGTATCATAGAAATTTTCAAAAAAATAGCGAGAAAGCAGTAGAAAATAATAGTTAAATAAAATTATATTTATTTAAAATTTTAAGCAAGAAAAAAGCTATTCGAAATAAACTTTTGTTCTAGACTCCTTATAAAAATCACTTAGTGAAAAAGTACGTAGATTATATCAAATGATTATAATGAGTATAAAAATTTTTATTTTATTTTAAGATAGTTGTAATACATAAATACTCCATTGATTACTTTAAACTCATTTATTATTATTATTATTATTTTCTATACCTAATGAGGATGAGGAATGAGCCAATGGAGATATCCCACTGTGGCTAAAACACATTCAAAATGCTTACGATGTGCTCTGCTAGGATTTCTGGATGGCACTGCTTCCTTTGTCGCTGCTTCTCTCTCCGCCCTTCGCAGGGAAGTTTCTTACCATAATTTTTTGTGGTATTCGTTGATTTTTGTTTCGATGGACGGCAAGTGTCTTAGGGATCCCAATTTTTTGGCGGGAAATCCCTCTTCTCGGTCTTTTTGATAGGCTTTCTCAGGTTCTTCTTCTTCTTCGAGCTCTAATTTTCCCGACCAAAAAATCTCCTCTTTTCGTGGGATGCCATCGTTATGGATTTCGGATGAGGAAGTTCTGGCTCTGGCTTCTCCTTTCGAGTTTGCTCTTGTTGTTAAATTTCTGTCACATAGGCCTTCGCTTGAGGCTATTTGCAAATTTTTCTTTAATCTCAATCTCAACGGAGAATTTTTGATCACTGTCCTGAACCCTAAGCACGTTCTTGTTAAGTTTGAGAATGATTTGGACTATTGTCGTGTTTTCTTCCATCGCTCATACTTTGTGAACAATTGTTTCATGAAACTTTTTAAATGGTATCCTACCTTTGATGTTGAAATTGAATCACCCATTATCCCTATTTTGGTATCTTTTCCAAATTTGAGGCCGCGTCTCTTTGCCCCTAAAATTCTCCATGGACTTGGTTCCATGTTCGGTAGACCCCTGAAAAAAATATCAGGCGACCTCTTCTAATAGGCGGCCATTGGTCGTGCGTGTTTTGGTGGAATTTGATGTAACCAAAGTTTTTCCTAACAAGGTGTGGGTTGGATATGAGGGCTTGGGTTATATCCAAACGGTTGTTATGGAGCCTTTTCCATTCTATTGTTCTCACTGTAAGTCTTTGGGTCATTCGAAGCTTGAATGCCCACTTCTTCATCCCCCTTTGCCTCCTTTTCTGAAGGAGGTTGTTTCCCCTGTTGCTGAGCAGTCTGTAAAGGGTGATTTTTTGGCTCCAGCTATTTAGAATTGTGATTTACCTATTTCTTTGCCTCCTTTGGGTCCTGCTGTTTCAAATAATGGTATCGTTGATTTAGCTGATGTTGTTTGTGTTCCTAGTGAGCTTTAGCCTATTCGGGGTGAGTTAGCTTCTTCGGATCCTCTGAGTCAGTCTTTATCTCTGGTGGGTATTGGGGTTCAGGGTGTTGATCCGATTGGTGTACCTGTGCATTCTAATGCTGAGGTTTCTTCTGGTCCTCTTCTTTCATCTACTATCTTGGTCGATTCGAATGTTGTTTTGGTTTCTCCTATCCAGGCTGTTAATGTCAGTGTTGTGGGTGGTTCTAACCCAGCTCTCTCCCCTACTGCCCGAAGTATTATGGACTTGGTGGTTTCTGCTAATGTGGTTGGTGTTGCTTCTCCGAATGTGCCCCATGTCATTGTGTATGGGAATGAAATTAATTGTCCTGTTAATCGTAATGTTAGTCATGGTGCTGTGGAATTGTTGGGTGATTTTTCAGACTCTTTAGCTAATAGTGGTGCTGAAGTTTTGGTTGATGTTGAGAAGGCTGGTGTTGAGTGGTAATTGGTGGATGTGCTTGTTTCTGTCATTTAAAATGCTAATTTAATTACCCGTGTTACTAGAAATTTTGTTAGATGGCAATGTGATTGATTGTATGATGACATGGCATTGGATAATAGGGAAGATTCTATTGCTCGTAACTTTGAAACGGGCTCGCTCGATAATTCTGGGAGGCAACGTAAACGAAATACCAAGTAGTAATGGCTCTCCTATTTCTTATTATGAGAGTTTTTTCCGGTTGTGGTACTTTGGTTGCGATGCTGGTTTTATCGGTACGATGAGGATGCAGCTTTGTTGCTGTGCCTTGGATGGCCATAGTTGGTTGGCGACCTTGGTGGCTTGTCTTTTGGCTGCTTCTCGATTTGGATGTTTTATTTGATCTCCTTGGATGGCCCCATCCTGACAACCAGGTGTCGGTCTGAGTCAGCAATTTGCCGTTTATTTCTATGTTGTTGTTCTCCTTGTTTTTTCATAAATTGTATTCCGATCCTATGGATGTGACCCTAGTTGGAGTCTTCTGCTGTAAAAAAAAAAAATGGAGAGATCCCACTGTGATGACAAATAGGATAACAGCTGTCTTCACAGATAACACTCTCTTTTAAATTGGAAAACGTAATTAGTTACCTAAATTCAGAACCAATCATTAGCTTAATTTAATTTCAATATCATTAATTTTCCATGCAAATTAATACTCTCATGCATGACCAGCAGAGCCATTTGAGCTCTATAAATATAAGGAAGTTTAAGCATCCCTCACCCTATCAATTTCTTGTACTCCTTTCCTTATTCATTCCTTTCTAATACTTCTTGCAATTTCATTATCTCAGCTATTATTTACCATTTAGTGATGTCCAAAGACTTTGGGAGTGAAGCCCCATTGTCAAAAATTGCAGTCTCCAAAGCTCATGGAGAGGACTCCCCATACTTTGCTGGTTGGAAAGCTTATGAAGAAAATCCTTATGATGCTGTAGATAATCCTAATGGAGTTATACAGATGGGCTTGGCTGAGAATCAGGTAAGTTTAATTGATTTGTTCCTTACATGGTGGGAGTTTACAGAGCCAAAATTGAGCATTTTTTATACAATTGAAGTTGTTATATGACTTGTGTTTATGTTGATAGCTTTCTTTTGATCTACTGGAAGAGTACCTGGAGCAGCATCCTGAAGCTTCCAGCTGGGGCTCTGGCATGTCTTCTTTCAGAGAAAATGCTTTGTTTCAGGACTATCATGGCCTCCAAACTTTTAGAGAGGTTTCTCTCTCTCTCTCTTAATATATTTAGAGAGAGAATTTATTTTTAATCTAAAAATTTAAAATTTTGAGAAATAATAAATAGCTTAGTATTTTGACACCAATATTGTTTAATTTTTCGTGGTAAAATTAAATTCATATTCAACATAAATTTAATTAAATGTAACTTTGATAAATTCAACATATTTAAAATGAACTTAGTTTATGGTTGTGGAGTAAAAATACTCAATTTATTTTTTTCGGTCCTCTAATTATATAAAATTAAGGTTTTGTTTAGGACATTTTTGTTACTGTTTTTTGAAATATTATTTTGTAAAAATTTTTTATTGAAAAGCTATTTTTAGAGCATTAAGAAAGCTATTTCAAATAAAACATAAATCTGTTTTTTTTTTTTTAATTATAAAGATTTTTCAATGAATCTATCTAATATATACATCTTCATACATGCGAAAAAAATAAATAAATAAACATTCTAAATATGTCGAATGAGGCTTTGTAAAACTCTCTTAAATTCTACTTATCAAATAGCTCTCAAACGTAAACACATATAATTAGCTATAAATTAACAAAAAAAGTTGTAGCAGAATATTATCATATAAGTCCAGGGGCGGAATCGGCTTTAATTTTGAGGGGTGTCAAAAATACAACACAAAAATAATTAAATATTAAAAAAAATAATATTATATATCTATACATTATGAAAAGTTTTTTTAAAAATTTAAGCAAGAAAAATAAAGAAAAAATATGTAATTAAACTGTTATGAAAAGCTTGAAAGAAAATATTAGAACTAAATGTATAGAAATATATATATATATATATATTAGCACAAGTTAGGACAAAATAATTTTTTAGGGGGGGCAAAAATAAATTTTTAGGAGGAGAAATTTTTTTTTACCCTACTATTAAAAGCTCCCCCTACCCCCCTAAGGAACCAATGGTTCCGTCCTTGTCCGTGCGTGCGTGAAAGAAGGCAAGAGCAGGAGTTATATTTTTTAATTAAATTTATTAAATTGTTTCTTAAGAATTAAATTATAAACACTTTAAAAAGTAAAACCGGAAACATGAAATAAATTCCTAATAGGAAATTCAGTTTTTAAATTAAGTTTCTTGAGAAATCGGAATTTCTTAATCCAAGAAACCGTATTTTCTTTTTTCTGGTTTCTTTTCAAATCAAAAAAATTAGAGAATAAATAAATTAAGAATTTATAGAAACTGGATTTTCATATAAAAAAATTAAGAATTAATCGAAACTGGAGAAGTAAAATCCGGTTTTGGGTTAAAATAAAAACCGGAGAATAAATTTTCAATTTTATTAACCCTGGATAATTAAGTTTTTTTTTTAATATGTTACTTAAGTTAATTTAAACTTAAAAGTGGCTCTTTTTATAAAATTCTCTATTAATATTCGTCTCTAATTAAGCAACCTTATTCATGCAATCATACTTTTTCGCTTCTCTTTTCAGGCAATGGCCAGCTTTATGGAGAAAATAAGAGGCGGCCGTTCAAAATTCGATCCCAACAGGATCGTCCTCACCGCCGGAGCCACCGCCGCCAACGAGCTCCTTACCTTCATCTTAGCCGATCCCGGCGACGCCTTACTCGTGCCCACTCCCTATTACCCAGGGCAAGCAAATCTATCAATTACTTAATAAAAAATCTCTCTTTTTATTTTTTTCTTAACAATGCAAACCTAATCTAATTTCTTCTATCCATATAAATATAGGTTCTTGAGAGACCTGCAATGGAGAACTGGAGTTACCATCTTCCCTGTCCATTGCCACAGCTCCAATGGCTTCCAACTCACTCTCGCCTCCCTCGAATCAGCCTACGCCGACGCGAAAGCTTCCAACTTTAATGTAAAGGGTCTTCTAATAACCAATCCCTGCAATCCTCTCGGCACCGCGGCCTCTCTCTCTCTCCTCCAAGATATAATTCTCTTCATCTCTGACAAAAACATCCATTTGATCTCCGACGAGATATACTTTGGCTGTGCCTTCTCTTCAACAAACTTATTCAGCATTTCAGATCTCATCACCGATGCCGTCTCTGACCAAATTCATATTGTTTATAGCTTATCAAAAGACTTAGGCCTTCCTGGTTTCAGAGTTGGAGCTCTATATTCTTACAATGACAGAGTTGTTAAAACAGCAAGAAGAATGTCAAGTTTCAGTCTTGTTTCTTCTCAGACTCAAAAGTTGCTAGCTTTTATGTTATCAGATGAGGAATTTACAGTGAATTATATAAAGAAGAATAGAGAGAGATTGAGAGAGCGATATGAATTAGTTGTTGAAGGATTGAAGGAAGCCGGGATTGAGTGTTTGAAAGGGGAAGCTGGATTGTTCTGCTGGGTGAATATGGAAGAGTTGATGGACGATAAGACGCAGGAAGGAGAGCTGAGGCTTTGGAAGGTGATAGTTGATGAATTGAAGCTTAACATATCTCCTGGATCTTCTTGTTGCTGTTCTGAACCAGGTTGGTTCAGAATTTGCTTTGCTAATATGAGCAGAGAAACGCTGGAGGTGGCGTTGAGGAGATTGAAGGATTTTGCTCACAAGAAGACGAAGAATATTTACTTGTGTTGATTAATTATACTTAATTGTAGTTAATTTGTGGAATTAATCTGATGAAAATTGAATTGCAATCAAATAGCCGAACACTTTGAGATAACATTATAAATAGGAGCATGATATTTAATTTAAATTAGTAATAGTATTATGTGTTTAAAAAATTTAAAAAGAATCAAATTAGTCAAATGATTTGGCTAGTTCTTGGCGCATTCACCCAAATTAGTCAAATTAAATTTTAAAATTACTGTAAAAATGCGTCAAATAGAATGCGTATTACATTGAATATTGTACCAACATGTTTGACTTATTCTAAATAAGTCAAACAGTTTGGTGCATTTAATGGAATGCGTCATTCTGTTTGATTAGTTTGCTTCTTTTTAAATTTTTTTAATGCTGATTCTATTTTTAATTTTATTAAACATCATGCTTCTTCTTAAATAAAATCCACACTTTGACTTTGTTTATGACAACAATGTCATATATGAGAACAAACAATAATGAATCATAATAAACTTTTAATTACTCAAAATAATTTGGATGAAAAGAAATGCAAGAATATTTGGGCAAATTAAGCCTTAGTTTGAGGAGAGATTCTTTTGTGTGGGGTCCGGAGGTCAATCCGGAGGAGTCACGACATTCAATGCACTATGTATTTGGTGACATGACGTTCGAGATTGGCCTATTGACGCATCCGGACACCACATATAATAATTTTTTCTTATTTGAGATGATTTTTTTTAATTATTTTTTTTAAGAATGTAATAATAATTTTTATTTACCCACTTCTTTTAATAAATTTTTATTCAAGAAAATTGTTTTCTATAATAACTTAAAAAAAAGATGTTTTCTTCATAGTAGTTTTACAACTATCTTTATAAAAAATTATTTTCTCCGCAACTATTTTATAACAACTTTTATAAAAGATTGCAACCATCTCAAACCTCGTATTTTATGTCATTTGCTTGCCAAATGTTAATGGATTTTTTTTTTCTATTTTCTTTTTCTGTTTTTAAAGGATATATTTTGTTGCAAAAAATTGTTTTGGTCGGATTTATTTGTTTCTTCTTTTTACAGACAAATAAATTGGTTTCAATAAGTTAGGAATTTTTTTCTTTTTCTTTTTTGAAATAAATAGTTTGATAAGGATAGTGTTTTTTAATAAAATTTTGTCTTTGAAATATAATTAATATAACTAAGCTGCATGTTAAATTCCATAAAAGTTTCTCATCATTTAGTATTCGTATAAATTAGTCTATTTTCATTAATCAATTGCATGATAAAACTCAATATTTCCTTATTTACCAATGCCATGAAATTTGCATATTATGAAGTAGTATTTTAAGTTTTTTACTATGATTATTATTAATTTAATATTTGAATAAATAAATTTAATATACTTTACTTTTTACTAAAATTATTTGAAAAAATTGCTGGTTAGATTGTATCACTCAGGGGTGTAAGTGAGCCTAGTCAATTCAGCTGGCTTGAACTCGACTCCTTAACGAGCTCATGAGATGTCTTTATCGAGTTACTACTATATTCGAGCTCCCCAACTCGACTTTAAATTAAAAAATCTTTTAAAATTAATATCAAGATACTATGATAAAATATATGCTAGACATTTTTAATTAATTATTTCTTAAGCCAAGCTTAAGCTTTCCAAACCAGCTCGAGTAATTAAGTTGAACTTGAACCTAATAACATTCCAATGAGCCAAATTCAAGCTTAATAAATAAGCTCGAGCTCCGATTCGATAAATATTACACAAATTTAGCTTCTTCAAGCTAATAATTGACTCATTTACACCCCTAATATCACTCATCTATAAATTTTATTTAAAAAAAATGATTGTACTAATGCTTGTAAAAAATTTTGTGTTTTTCACCTAAAAAAAATCCTATTGAAAAAATAATAATAAAATACTATTAAATATAAAGATCTAAAGTGCTCTGCAGTTGCTCTTTGATAAAGATGCCAGTTCTGGCAGTCACATTTTTTGACATTTTAATCATCCAAATAATTAGCATCACAATAATTAGCATGTGAGTGTTTGAGTGCTCCTTTGATTGCTCTATCAATTACAATTAAATTAATTAAAAATTTTCCTAAAAGTATGGCATTATTGTTCCTTTTGATTTAGATAAAAAAGAAAGAAAAAAAAAAAACAGGCAGACAAATAAAATATGATTCAAAATTAAGAGTCATCCATCTATATGCTAAATGTGAAGCAAGAAAGATATAGATTTTATTTGAGAAGGTTTTTTTATTGCTTCTTAAAACTGTTTTTTGGTTTAAAAATTAAAATTTTTATATTAAAAAGCTGATTAAGAAGCAGTAAGAAAGTCGTCCCAAATGAAGTCTTAGGCTTCATTTCGAACGGCTTTCTTACTGTTTCTTACAGCAATTTTTTAGTACAAAAATCATTGAGTGAGAATAAAATAGCTAGAAAGATAGCTACTTCCTGCCATCATTAAAGTAGATTTCACTAAGATTTAGGCTTCGTTTGTTTTTTTGTGCTTTTGTAAAACACAGTTTTAAAAAATATTAGTTCAGAAAATGGAGTTTTCTAACGAAGAAGCACATTTAAAAAGCATTCTCAAAACTGCAGAAAAATGAAAAAAAGGAGTTATTGGGAACGTGATTTGACGAACCAAACAACACAAAAAAAAATTCCTCCGTTTTAGGAAACGGAGAAGCCAAAAAAACGCTCAAACAAACAAAGCCGTAGATTGTAACGTTTTTGTGATCCTTATATCTTACATATCACCTAAGAACGGTGCCCTTTTTTCTATATAAAAAAATTGATGGGCTGTATGTTTTGCTTAAAAAGAAATATAATGTATTTGAAATATTTGAACTTGTTTGAATAAATACGAAAGCAATGTATGTATGTGATTAGCGGCGGGGACTGCAGCAGAAGGCAGGGCAGGCAGGGACAAGCCGACAACTCAATCAACTTGCGTGAAAAAGAAATTCAGTCAAAGCAGGACGAGTTTATAATACATCAAAAATGAAGTAGAGAGTAAAAACAAAATCACTAAAACTAATACGAACACCTAAACTTTAAAATCTCCTATATTTGAAATATTTTGTATTCTTTTTTCCGCAAATTAATAGCACCTAAAATATCTAAAAATACATTGAATTCTAAAAAATATTCATATGAAAGCAACCCGTAATTATTTGATATCTTTCAGGAGCCCCCACTTCTCTTCCAACCCCCACAACAATATCAGTATAACAATTATTATAGGACAAAAATTGAATCCCACAATAAACATACTGAAACAGGCAAAGCAACTCTTTTTAAAGGAAACTGCTTCATTCACTTCCTTCCACTGATGTCTTCTTATTTCATAAAAAATTACTCTCATGAATCAAATATAACAAAAATAACAACTTTTGGAGAAACAATCCCAAACACAGCAAAATGATGCAGGAACAGCTGAAACTTCCAGTTCTTAAGAACAAAAATCTGAGTCCAGCGCAGATCAAAAGCATAAGGAAACACAATCCAGTGCTAGAACCCAAACCAAATAGGCACAAAGAAGAAGCCAAATAGAAGAATCTTTGCCATTCTTCACAATATCAACTTACTAAGGTAGAGAATAGGAGGCCTTTTGCCATTTCATAGCTTTCATATTAAGCTGGAAAATGATCAGTTGCTGAAGGTTTTTAGAGGATTACCATGAAACTTAGCTTTCAGTGATTTCATATATATTGGCATTAAACTCAAAAAATAGAGCCTGGGTGAGATCCAACCATTTTGTATTCCTACATTGTTGTATTTTTTTTTTTACTATTCAATGTGGGATTAAACACAATATTCTGATGAGTTTTACCAATCTCCCCTACATGTGAGAGAAATTCATATATTCCATATTTCTTTATTATGCATAGTCTTTTGAATGTCAATGACTATGTTGCACTAATACACCTATTCATGAAGGTGTGCTGTATAGGATCGTGTTGGACAACGATACGCATTCTATACGGCACCGATTTGTGTTGGATATGGAAAAGTCATATCCAATTAAAATATATTTAATTTCAAAAGGACAGGTATCGGATATGCATGTCCGTCGAAAAAAAAAAAAACTCGAAAGAAAAACATACGTGTTGTATTTATTTCCACAGTGCAAGCGAGGCTCTCTCATTTCCGAACACGTGAGACGAAGCATTAGGGCTCCTTAATTCTACGACCGGCGAGTGTGCATCCATAGCTACAAGTGATATTTTTCTTTGTCATTTCATCGAAGGAGCGGAAGAGGAGAGTCGGCCGATGCTGAGCAGGGAATGCAAGTAGGCAACCGAGGGCTTCTTTTCTACCGTCGATCACGCAAGACTAGTTGAAACTCATGTGCTAGTAATTTATGTTTATGTTTAAATTTGGTTGTTGTACTAGATATTTAATGTTTATTTTTATTTTGATATTATAAGCTACAAGGCTAGAAATGATGTGACTTTCATTTTGTTCTGTGATCATTTCAAATATTATGCTTTGATTGTTTTCTTAATTTTTATGTATGATTTATAAATTATAATGGCGTGTTCGCGCCGTACACGTATCCTGTATTTTGAAGAATTGACATGTCCCGTATTCGTATCGTGTTGTCAACATAGGTAGCAAGAGCCCGCTCAGCTTGGGGTACCTTCATGGAGTTATGTGTTCTTGAATCTTACTCCAAGACACATAAGAGCCACAAATCATATAAACCATCTAATTCCAGTTAAGTACTAAAGTCTGCCGCCATACTAAAAAGTCTGAAGAGAATACATATTTGAATCTTATAACACAATACATTGTATCATGATTATAAAACTTGTTTAAGGCCAAAGCTTATCTTATGTTGCCATCCACATCCATTGGAATTGGGCCCCATACACTCTTCATCAATTTATTTCTGCAGATGGCTATGTAATAAGTTGTATAGAAGAAGTTGAATTCTCAGCCACTGCTCCAAAACATTTGGTTGAAATCTGATTTGTTAAGGCCCCAAACCATTGCATGAAAA